ATGGTCTATTTATAGACAGTGGGGGTATATATAGAGGAGTTGTTCAGCACTGAGTTCAGATCGGAGATCTCGTTGGAGTTTAAGTATCAAGTCATTGGAGTAGTGGAGTTTTACCGCGTTATTGTACTTGATGTTTGCAGAGTTTACCAATTGAAACCTCATCTGTTGGCTTCGTGTTCGTATTTTATCATCGCCACCAGGGAAGTCTTCTGTTACTGTTGCCATTTTGGTATTTGAACCATCACACCTGTACTATACCAATTACGGTAATATTACGTTGCGTTTGACAACATTCTAACTTCACATATACATAAAATTTACGTATGCACATCAATTGTTTTACGATCTGATTCAAGATGGCTGAATGGCATTCATTTTTGTGCAGAACAATGACAAAAAACAAGCATTTCTTGAATTCCGGAACCGGATCTCAGCTGTTTACAGATGGATTTTGTTCAAACTTGGTACATACATTGGACATTATGGGACCTTGATGTACGTCATTTTGTTTTTCAGATCAGATTCAAAATGGCCAACTGGTGGCCATTTGGTTTGAATGCGGTTCTAGTGCCATATTTTTGACGTGCTTTGACTATGTTCAAATTGTATGTGTTCGTTAGACATCACGTCATAGATATACAGATATATTGGTATAACTATCAGATTCAAAATGGCTGAATGGTGGACATTTTTGTGCTAAAAAAATCATCAAATATATTTATATTACCCTGTGTTCCTAAGATTGGGATTGATACCCATGATGCTAAATGGGGCTTGTTACTTTGTGGCAATGGTATACAATGCGTGCTATCGATAGCCATTAGTTGTTCAGCCCGCCCATACAATTATATGATACTGAGCAGGGCTAGTTAAAGTGTGACCATGGTGTTCAATACTATGATATCAATGAGCATTAGTTGCTAATCCCCTATCCAATTATACAATATCAATCAGGGCTAGTTAATGTGTCAGGGTTTTTGAGGGTCATAATGTCACTGACACTTTACGTACACTAATTGTTTAATATATAATGCGCTATTCGTTTCTGATTGTAATTGCACTGATCTGATATAGATTGATATTAACTGTTTGATAACATTTACCAGAACAGTTATATGTATATAAATCGTTTATTTCTTGAATAAAATATAAAAATAAATCTCTGAATAATTACAGTCTTGGATAATATAAAATAAGTTGTTGAAAGACATTAGGTGCATACTCATTCTCGTTGTAAATTATCTGATTTTGATATAGACTATGTACCATGTATTTTAAAATTTACATATAACAAGTGAATAGAAAAATGTTATGACTGTCGCCATCACCATTCTGCAAATAACAACAGTTTATAAGTCAGAAATAATTTCTCTCGGTAATGCTGCCACTTGGTATGTCAAAATTTACCGTATTCTCGGGAATGCAAAACGAATTAGTGAAAACAAAACAAAAATCAAAATCGCCTGAAGTGCATCTTTGGTAACATATACAATGTAAAGGCATTGCAACAAAAGTGTTTGTCAATGATGTTGCTGTACTCACGTAGTCATGTTATTTGTCGTTTATACTTTTGTCTAGACGTGGCAACATCTGTCAATTATTATTTATTTTGCTACTTGAATATATAAGTTAAAACGTCAGATTCAGGGTTGTGGCTTTTACAATCAATACTCAATTGTAATGCTTAGTAATATACTTATATGACGTGTTACTTCCTGATTACATTGTTATGGATTAATAATGAAGTTCAATTCTCATTTTCAATATCTCAAAACAAAAAACAAAAATAAAATTCAAAAAATCATATAAGTCCATGTAGCAACTGTGGTCCAGCTAATAGAATATTCATTTAATAATCATATCTGAAATACAAAAAAACATGAATATTGGATGTTTTTAAAAATATGTTTGCTCTTAATCATAAAATAATCATCAATATATAATATATACATTTTCGCTGATTTCGAAATATTTTCAGATACCCGGTATGTATTTTTAAAATCAAATGTGATATGGTTTCATCATGAAGATTGTTTCCAGTTATTCAATAAGATTCTCTATTGCCGATTCAACAATATATCGTATAGAATTACTTTGTATAGAGTACTTTGCAGATTTAAGGTTTAACATTTGATTTGTTAACAATGAAGATTTAATGTTTACTCATGTTGATTTTTATTTGAATTCTCATAGTTCGTTGTTGAAAAAAAACGAATGTATTTCATTATTCGTACCTCGATTGTCTTCTGAAGTCAGCATTGTGAGTCTGAGGTATTTGTAAGTCAATGTCATCATGGCTGTGCCTGGTTTGGTGACCAGTCAGATAAGAGAATTGTCTACCATGATCATCACTATATGCGGCATCATACACGGATTGTGATCTATCCCTTAGAGCCTAAAGTAAACAGTACAATAATTGACAATCATATGTTAATGTAATGCATGGATAAGATATACAAAGCAGAGACACACAAATACTGGTGACTGCTTAACTTCAAAATAATACATTCTTTACCACCCTACATAAGCGTTATGCATATAATGTATACATTCTTTCAACTAGAAGTGACTCAACAATTAAATTAGAAATAAGCAACATACCCAAGATATTCCAAGATCACAAATGATTAACAAACAATAACACTACAATCCCTTGAAAATGACATTCATGTGAACAAAACTGACAAATGCACCACAGTATATAGTCAAATCAGTAAGAATACAGAAATTTAGACCTCATAAAGAGATGATTTGAAAACAAATAGCGAATAGAGCAAACATTTTTTCGCATGTGAAACCTGCAATATATATTATTTATGATGAAATAGTTTCTTATACAGGGTCCATAGCACCAAGAGGCAAATGATTTCCAAGACTTTTCCACACCTTTTCCCAAACTTTCTTGCATTTTTCCAAGACATTTTGACCCCTAATTCAGGCCACTATCGTCACCAAAGCTCATCAAAGTTCTGAGGATATGGTAGTTTCCTGGAGAAAGATTTTTTTATTTTTCCTGTAATTTAAAAACAACTCAAAGACTTTCCAGACCTCAAAACATCCAAAGACTTTCAAAGGATTTTCCCAACGCTATGGACCCT